ATTGGTTTGTTTGTAAATAAGCACAAAGCTACATAATGGACTATGTGTGATCTGCCCACCACGGGTATCGAAACCCGGTTTCTAGCGTTGTAAGTCCGCTGATGTTGGAGAAAACATTTAACACCTTCTGTTCAACAACATGTAGCACGTGACTAACTATTACTGAGATCTGCAGTTTGGAGAAAAGTAAAGAATTCGGAGTTACGAAAAGTCCACCGTGACACTCAATGTAGTAACGCTCATTACAAAAAAAAAAACAGCTTTATAAATAACTAACAAATGTAAACGCAAAAACAACTAGTTTTTAGGTTCTTCAATTTCTGAGTGAGAGTTTTTGTTAAAAACAAATCAAAAAGCATTTATGGATTGTTTTTGGTTTGGTCGTTGTTAAGCGCAAGGTTACGCGATGGACTTTCTGGGCCTTGTCCATCACAGGTATCGAATCCCAAATTATAGCGTTGTAAGCCTGCAGGCTTGCCGTTGAGTCACTGGGGGGGGGGGTAAGGGACATAAACTTGATGTTTTCATATATCAATTGATTTTCTTTCTTTATCTGTGAGGAGACAAAGTCGACCTTGTACAGGTTCCTCACGTGTGTTTATTCTTCGGATTAAAACAGCCGTACAGAGTCCAAAAGCTTTTACAGACAACTAGACAGACATCTTATTGTTCTAACAATGCGGTGTTTAATTTTTCAAATGATAACTGTCGGATGAATCGACGTAACGTGCTATGATTTGAACATATTTTGCTTTGTTTATAATCTAATTATAATTGGTTTGTTTTTTAATTTCGCACAAAGCTACACGAAGGATATGGCCGTTCCTAACTTAGCAGCGAAAGACTAGAGGGAAAGCAGCTAGTCATCACCACCACCCACCGCCAACTCTTGGGCTACTCTTTTTACCAACGAATAGTGGAATTGACCTTCACATTATAACGCTCCCACAGCTGAAAGGGCGAAGTTGTTTGGTGGGACGGTGATTCGAACCTCCGACCCTCAGAATGCGAGCCGAGCACCCCAACCACCTGGCCATATCAGGCCTTTAATTAAAAGTAGAACCTATTTCGTTTAATCTTCACTCAGGCCTGGTGGTTCGTAATCTGCGGATCGTGGGTTTGAATTCTATCACCGAACATGTTCGCCCCTTTCAGCCATGGGGCGTTATTATGTAATGATCAATCCCACTTTTCGTTGATAAAGAGTACCCCAGTGAGTGATGTTGACTAGCTGCCTTCGTTCTAGTCTATCGCTTCTAGATTATGGACAACTAACGCAGAGGGCTCTCGTGTAGCTTTGCGCGAAATTCAACAAGCATAATCCTTACTCACAAACTTTTAAAGAAGAATTTTAGATATTTTCATCCATATTTATCAGTCTGGGCTTCTGTCAATGGCGATGGTTAGCTACCCGAGATTCAGAAAATGTTGGTTTTTCGATGGTTAGCTACCCCAGATTCAGAAAATGTTGTTTTTGTGATGGTTAGCTACCCGAGATTCAGAAAATATTGGTTTTTCGATGGTTAGCTACCCGAGATTCAGAAAATGTTGGTTTTTCGATGGTTAGCTACCCGAGATTCAGAAAATGTTGGTTTTTCAATGGTTAGCTACCCGAGATTCAGAAAATGTTGGTTTTTCGATGGTTGGCTACCCGACTCCTTTTCATTGGCTAGTTAGTTGGTTAGCCTGATAACTGATTCGAACAGGATGTTTCATTCTCATTAACAGATTTGTAGTTATAGATTACAACGAGTGGTGTATACCAACCCTTGGTGGAGGGGAGTTAGAATGGCTAAAATTATGGGGGACAGCCTCACTAAAATATTGTTTAATATGCTGAGGGGGATGTAATCGCATGCATGGCCATCTTCTGTTTTATTATATATATACATATTAAAACGTACTTGATCCCGGAGGGTGAGGGGGGGAAGTGACCTTTCTATAAATACCTCATTAACTGCATTTTCCTTTTTTTTTACCTTTATTCAAGTTAAATAACCTACCTAACAAGGATGCCAGGATGTAGAGACACATTTTATTTCAAATTTATTGAAAAATTATTAGAGTCTTCCTTTTGATTTGATACATCATTAAACAAAACCTCTTGAACTACCTTAGGGAGGGGGGGGGGGAAGAGAATCCCAGGAAAATAACTGTTAACAACGACATAACATGAATATTCATTGGAGAGTTTTGAAATAAATTCCTTTTTTTGTTGAATTGTTTGTAAATGTTATATCGGAGTCTAATATCTAAAACATATTTAGTTCTTGATGAATGGTCAGGTTTAGCCCCCAGTGGCACAGCGGTATGTCTGCGGACTTACGACGCTAGAAACCAGGTTTCGATACCCATGGTGAGCAGAGCACAGATAGCCCATTATGTAGCTTTGTCCTTAACTTCAAAACAAACAAACTGCGCACGTTTACTTAGGTTAGCATTTAGTTCTTTCTCTTGAGAGTAGCAGGAAAGGTACTCTCTACTAACTCAGGATCAATTTTATTTTCATGTAATCCAACAAGAAAGGTACTCTCTACTAACTCAGGATCAATTTTATTTCATGTAATCCAACAAGAAAGGTACTCTCTACTAACTCAGGATCAATTTTATTTCCATGTAATCCAACAAGAAAGGTGCTCTCTACTAACTCAGGATCAATTTTATTTCCATGTAATCCAACAAGAAAGGTACTCTCTACTAACTCAGGATCCATTTAATTTTCATGTAATCCAACAAGAAAGGTACTCTCTACTAACTCAGGATCCATTTTATTTCCATGTAATCCAACAAGAAAGGTACTCTCTACTTAACTCAGGATCCATTTTATTTCCATGTAATCCATCAAGAAAGGTACTCTCTACCTAACTCAGGATCCATTTCATTTCCATGTAATCCAACAAGAAATGTACTCTCTACTAACTCAGGATCAATTTCATTTCCATGTAATTCAACGAGAAAGGTACTCTCTACCTAACTCAGGATCAATTTTATTTCCATGTAATCCAACAAGAAAGGTACTCTCTACCTAACTCGGGATCAATTTCATTTCCATGTAATCCAACAAGAAATGTACTCTCTACTTAACTCATGATCCATTTTATTTCCATGTAATCCAACAAGAAAGGTACTCTCTGCCTAACTCAAGATCAATTTCATTTCCATGTAATCCAACAAGAAAGGTACTCTCTACCTAACTCAGGATCAATTTCATTTCCATGTAATCCAACAAGAAAGGTACTCTCTGCCTAACTCAAGATCAATTTCATTTCCATGTAATTCAACAAGAAAGGTACTCTCTACCTAACTCAGGATCAATTTCATTTCCATGTAATCCAACAAGAAAGGTACTCTCTGCCTAATTCAGGATCCATTTCATTTCCAGGTAATCCAACAAGAAAGGTACTCTCTACTTAACTCAGGATCCATTTCATTTCCATGTAAACCAACAAGAAAGGTACTCTCTACTAACTCAGGATCCATTTCATTTCCATGTAATCCAACAAGAAAGGTACTCTCTACTAACTCAGGATCCATTTCATTTCCATGTAATCCAACAAGAAATGTACTCTCTACTAACTCAGGATCCATTTTATTTCCATGTAATCCATCAAGAAAGGTACTCTCTTCTTAACTCAGGATCAATTTCATTTCCAGTTAAGAATATTTTATCTTTCTTAGCGAGTTAACAGGAAAGGAGCCATCTGCTCAGCTAGGAACCTTTTTTTTTTGTTTGCTAGCAGGAAAGGCACCTTCAATCTAACTCAGGATATTTTCCCTTTCTTCGTTATCTAACATGAAAAGCAACTTGGAATTACATTCCATCTTGTAGACAAAATGAGAATAGAAATAAACTCGGAGTTACTTTAAAGTATTAAAGATACTACACAGATGACAACTATATAACTTAGACAAACTGAGAGAACAAACTTTCAAAAATAAAACGAAGTTGTCCACACACACACACACAACAAAAAAGAAGCAAGTTATAAGAAGTTTAAAAACAATCAATCTGTTTAAATGTGAGCGAGAAATACATATGTGGCGGGATTGATAGTAACTAAACGACTGGTTGGAGAATATGGTTATGATAAATATTTTTATGGTGGTTAACATTGTTGTCCACACGTTTTAAATTCTTTAAAAATTCTGGCTTCAGTCATGATTATTGGTTCTTTACCTTCGTTTTCAAAGCAGGCCACTCATCAATTAATTATTAATATTTTGATGTAACTCATTTTCTAGTTTTATAAATTGCATAAGCCTTAGATGGTTCGTATAGCCATTAGTATGATCCTTCTCACAAAAGACTCCCGTCATTTCATCTGCGCCACGTGCTATTCCACGCGCCATGACGTCGCCACTCAGGTTTCAGAAAAACCAACAACCCGCCCTTGCTGTCATACCGCCACGCGAAATACATTTAAGATCCAATAGTAGGCAATAACCTCCTAGCGAGTGAATTATTCCAAATCAGTAAACATACAAACAATGGGGTTTGGGAGTTTAAAAGTGTGTTCGTATCGTTAATGAATAAATAAATAAAATCCTTACCTTTTTTCTTTTTGAGAGGAGGGGGGGGGGGGTTCACTATATGATTACATTCTACTTCAAGCTGTTGACAATTATTGATTTTTATGGAGGGGCCAGGCCCGCGGCGCCTGGCCCCCTCCCAGGGCAGAAAGATAAGAAGAAAGTGGAGTCGTGGTAAGTAGACTCACGAGGCAGTGAAGATAGCCCGCAGACTAAATGTTTTGTTTTAATGTTGCATTTAAAAAAAAAAAGCTTGCTCACCTTGAAAATAAAAATGATTTTAGAACTAAGGTGAAGTTGGTAAAGTTTTAACAAGTTAGTTAACGTGTAGGGACGGTACACCCTTGTTAAAGTGTAAACACTTGTAACTTTTAGTTTTAGCGTCTGTTGAACCAAAGGAAAAATCCTGACTAGAAATTTGTACTGGTGTTCTGTAAATCAATTAAATCTCATAGTAACTAACTACCTACCTTCCGCTAGTGGAAGCGTGGCGAAAATCATGAGAGTTAGCGGAGCAAAGAAACTTTTGGTTGGCCCAGGCAACATTGTGTTCGAGGCGCTCGTGCACAACAGACCGAATGTCCACGTTTATAGCAAAAAGTCACCACTGGTGAAACGTTGATGTTTCTCGGTCTAAACTGTCAATAGCATCTTAAAATGCTAATAGTGCTACATTACCACACACAGATAGACAGCCACGTCACAAACAGAGTCACCACACACGGGCTTTGATAGTATTCGGTATACGCGCTGCAACCATATCCCCTGTTGTTACCGCCTCAAGATCTTTTAACTGGTCGCTGGGGGTGGGTTTGGAGGGGATAGATTTGAGCGCGTGCGCACGATATTTTGGCTACCAACAGTCACTAACCTAACTGAATGGGAACCAAAGAAACCTTAAAACCCTCGAGGCGGAGAGTAAGGAGGAGCGTTGTCTTAATATTCATTAGTACACCAGATGGCGCATAGCAGGTTTTTTTTACCATTTCTCTTGACTGTTGAAGGGCCCAAAATATATGGTGGTGACATCTGGCGATAAAAAACATTATGGAAATAAAACTTGCAATAAAACAGAATTTTTGTTCGAACTTTTTGTTTTATTTATCGAAAAAAAAACATTATAGAAGTCATTATTAAATATATACCGAATCATTTCTTTAGTACCCCCCCCCCAGTGTCTGCGGACTTGCAACACTAGAAACCGGGTTTCGATACCCGTGGTGGGCAGAGCACAGATAGCCCATTGTGTAGCTTTGTGCTTAATTCCAAACAAACATTTTTTAAACGTCTTATATTGTTAAATTCTTATTTTTATAAGGTTTGATAATCTAACATTTTTTTAGATACACAGATTTGTTTATTACAAGTTCTGTCAAGATTTCACAGATTAGTTAACTGCCCTGCTACCTCATTAGTCGGAGTCTGGATAAAGCAAAGAGTTTCTTGGAACTGAGAATCTAGGAACTTATATTCTGTAATCTGGAGACATACTTATGTGGATGAAAAAAAGTAGGTCCCACTGTGGGACAACTGAATTACAACATTACAATCAGAGGTTCGATTCCCCGCAGATAGCCCAAAGTGGCTTTGTTCTAAAACAAACACATATTTTAAATTTTTCTAAACAATATGCTTTGCAACCAATTTACAAAGATGATTATTTGAATGATGAAAAACCTGGCAGACACCTGAAATGTGGTAATATTACACTACTAAACATTATCTTAAATAAATATAAACCTAAATAAATATGTGGGAATATTACACTCCTAAACATTACCTTAAATAAATATAAACCTAAATAAATATGTGGGAATATTACACTCCTAAACATTACCTTAAATAAATATAAACCTAAGTAAATATGTGGGAATATTACACTCCTAAACATTACCTTAAATAAATATAAACCTAAATAAATATGTGGTAATATTACACTCCTAAACATTACCTTAAATAAATATAAACCTAAATAAATATGTGGGAATATTACACTCCTAAACATTACCTTCAATAAATATAAACCTAAATAAATATGTGGTAATATTACACTCCTAAACATTACCTTAAATAAATATAAACCTATGAGTAAAAAAAAGTTTACATAAAAACGCCCTCAATCTTCTTACAGCTTCAAGAGAGTTTGTTTGTTTGTTGTTTATTTGTAATTAAGCACAAAGATACACAATGGGATATCTGTGCTCTGCCCACCACGGGTATCGAAACCCGGATTCTAGCGTTGTGCCACTGGGGGCGCTTCAAGAGAGAATTAAATATCATTGCTCAATGTGCAAGGCCACTCGATGACTCAACGGTTAGTCTGAGGGCTTATAACACTAAAATCCGGGATTCGGTTCCCCGCAGTGGACACAACAGATAGCCCAATGCGGCTTTGCTGTAAAACAAACAAACAAAACTTAGCAACAAAAAATTAACAGCATGATATTGATAAGTTTATACACCAGTCTTGCAGATTAACAAAGCTTCTGAATACTCCAACTTAAGAATACCATATTTCACGAACGTTAAGTTTTAGGCTTAACGTTCGGAGTCGGAGTATATAAAAAGTCAAACGTAAATTGAGTTTTCAAAGTTGTTTTAACCGATATCTGATAACAGAGCAAACTAGGCATTCCGACGCTTTAAGTAGGTGGTCTTTTAGCTTGTGTGATTGTCTTTTAGAACCTTTTCTGTTGAAATCTGTAAAATGTAATAAATTTTACTTAGCAGAAATCGGTTAAAGTGTTTAGAAGTTAATCATAGATGAGTGGTCTAATAGAAATGCTACAGAATAACGTGAACTGCGCATCCAAAGACGCCGAGATTCCGTGGGTCCATTATAAGACCGAGGGTTAAATCCCACTATATTCGATCTAAAAAGAGCACCTCAAGAGGTGTCAATGTTGCCTTCCATATAATTTACTCAAAATTAGGGAAAACTATTTCTTTCAATGATATAGGTTCCATGGTTCGGGTCCCGTTTCGGCCAAACAAAATATATAAATCATTACTCGGTCTTCATGGCCAGGTGGTTAGGGCGCTCGACTCGCAATCTGAGGGTCGCTGGTTCGAGTCCCCCCTCCCACCAAACATGCTTGCCCTTTCAGCCGTGAGAGCGTTATAATGTTACGGTCAATCCCACTATTCGTTGGTAAAAGAGTAGCCCAAGAGTTGATGGTGGGTGGCAATGACTAGCTGCCTTCCCTCTAGTCTTTCACTGCTAAATTAGGGACGGCTAGCGCAGATAGCCCTCGTGTAGTATTGCGCGAAATTCAAAACACAAACAGACTAAACTAATATTAAAGATGGAAGTGAAGATGTTGGGTCACTATCAAGATGAACATAGATTGGTTTGTTTGAGAACTTCTCGTAAAGTTACTAAAGGACTAAATATTAACATTGAAAATACTAAAAAAAATAGCTAGATACATTTTACTAAAATATGAGAATTTATATTTTACTACTTCTCGCCCCCAGTAGATCAGTAGTATGCTCACGGACGATAAAATCTAAGGTTCGATCGCCGGGGTAAACAGAACACAGATAGCCCATTGTGTATCTTTGGGTTACAAAAACTCACACGGTTATTTCTTAAATATAATTATATCTTTCCGTGGAACAAAAAACAAAACACTTTAAATAGAAAACTACAAAAAAAAAAGACATCGTTGAATCACGTTTCATCACATGTCTGTCATAGCAATCAATTCTCGCAAACTGCATGACTCAAGCTGGTAAATATTCGTGTGTCACAGACTTATATACAAGATATGAGACATAATGGAAGCAAGGGAAGTACTAAACTGGTTATGTATAACACCTTACCAAGGGAAGTATTAAACTGGTTATATATAACACCTTACCAAGGGAATTACTAAACTGGTTATATATAACACCTTATCAAGGGAATTAGTAAACTGGTTATATATAACACCTTACCAAGGGAAATACTAAACTGGTTATGTATAACACCTTACCAAGGGAAGTGCTAAACTGGTTATATATAACACCTTACCAAGGGAAGTACTAAACTGGTTATATATAACACCTTACCAAGGGAAGTACTAAACCGGTTGTATATAACACCTTACCAAGGGAAGTACTAAACTGGTTATATATATAACACCTTACCAAGAGAAGTACTAAACTGGTTATATATAACACTTTACCAAGGGAAGTACTAAACTGGTTATATATATAACACCTTACCAAGGGAAGTACTAAACTGGATATATATATAACACCTTACCAAGAGAAGTACTAAACTGGTTATATATAACACCTTACCAAGGGAAGTACTAAACTGGTTATATATAACACCTTACCAAGGGAAGTACTAAACTGGTTATATATAACACTTTACCAAGGGAAGTACTAAACTGGTT